GATTCGTTACTCTACTGAAGTGCCCTCGATCAGTGTAGTGAATGCGAAGGATTAGTAAAATGGGAGAAAATGGCACTCTGCTCCATGATTTTAGTTATGGCGTAGTCACTTCCTCACAACAACTGAGACGATTTCCTTATTATCTAACTAACTCAATTTCTTGTAATTTTGACATCTGTCGCATTTGTACCTCAAGAATTTTTTCATATTGCTGCTATTATTTTGCCGCTTTTTTGTTAATTATCTCGTGCTCCTCTGTGAACCTTCCCTATCTTCTCCGACGAAATCAATCTGAAACTTGTGACAGCCACAAGATGTGCTTGATCCTAGTTTAAAGATGCCATTTTTGTAAACTTTTAGATTCCGCAAGATTTCATATTTGTTATCATATGATAACATCAGCGGAATCACAAGTTTTTAGTTCTCCATAGCTTCTCATCGTTTATCAGGAGGACTGTGTAACCTTAATATAAGCCTTTTCTTGTTGAAAGGAGCTTTTCGAATTTGATTTCATGATACTTAACATTTATGAGAAGGATCATAGTAATGTCTCTGCGTTTTGCGTTTGTCATCTTTTATTTGCTTTGAAGCATTTGGTCCTCATGAGATAAGAGAATCAAAAGTATACTGGGAGTCAAATTAAACATGCGTGCGTAAGTAACAAAACTGCGCTTTACTCATTGGCCGCTTTATCCTAGGAATGTCTCGGATCCGATTCTGCTTGGCAAAGCATTTAGATCTGATTCTTTTATAAAATTTCACAAAAATTCCTATATCAGGAGCATAAAACTTTTGGTTGAATGAAAACTGTGCCCTAAATCGCAACGATAGTCCTCTGAACATTTTAATGGAGGAGCTGTTCATGATTCTCAGTAACCTCAGCCTCCGATCGTTCAAATCTCAAACTGCGGGACGTAAGAATTTGCAAATGATCTGCGAACATTTGTATTTCATCTCCAACCTGCATTTCCTCTGTGTAGTGCGAAAAAACCATGCTTTTCCGTCACCTAATCGTATATATTTTCAAAGGCGACATCTTTACCTAGTTTTTTTCATCGAACATCAAGCAAAAATCTAGAGAACTAATTCTATTGGTCCTTCTCATCTGGTTTCATGAGATGTCATGGAAATCAATTCAATTATGATTCGAATTAGGATATATTAAACTAAGATTTTAGAGTTGAAAAATACTCAATTCTCCTAAAAAGTTTATTCGAAAAACAACATGACAAAACTAAAACACGTATACATCAAAAACATATTCTCTTTGATTGCCAATGATATCATTCTTCCTTCATAATAATAGATTAATTTTCCATGTACAAGAAAATGCTAAATTCATAAGACTTTGTGCAGAAGGGTTTTAATAGAACGAAATATATTTGCCCTGAATTCTAGCCCAATTCTGCAGCAGGACTTAAACGCTGAAACTATCCAGTTTAATGTTGATCATTGTAGAGGCTTTCTTTCTAATGAAAAGGAGGAAAAAATTTACAAGTGCTTTTTTTGCAGGAAGCCAAAATTCAGTTTAAAACTTTTTAGGAGAAAAAAAATTGTTGGCAATCAAAGATTGGTGAGATTTCTAACCTCTTTTACATAAACAAATACGATAAACTACATATGATAAGGCGAGGACAACTTAGCAATGGGAAAAATTAGGTAAGTAAGTTGAGTTCTTTTTGAAAGGCACACGAATGACATGAGAATATTAAGAGAAAGACTTTGTGGGGAAACTTCATAACAATGATCGTATAACCTTTCTTTGTTTCAATATTATAACCTTCACACAACATAATCAAAATCAA